CATTATTATTTTATTAAGGATGTTATTGGCAATTTATTATGGTCAAAAGCATTACAAGGCTCAGTATTAAGTTCATTTTTTTGGGGTTATTTAATGACACAAATGATTGGCGGATATTTGTCATTTCGTTACGGTCCAAAATTAGTCATCGGTTTTGCCATTTTAATAAGCACATTGCTAACATTCATTTCACCATTTGCTGCTAATACAAACGTTTATTTTTTTATGATTGTACGTATTATTATTGGATTATCACAGGTATCTTAATTTTCACTTTTATTTTATTTTCCGCCACATATTTTTTCTCAATTTTCAATTTTAAACTTCTAAAATAATACTACTTATAATGCGGAAATTTAAATATTAATAAGGCATTGTCTTCGTTTTCTTAGTTTGAACATTTTAAAATAGTAATTATTTTAATTTAAAATTAAAAATGCAACCTTCAAAATTTTAAGTTAACTTAAAAATGATATCTCTTCTTTCTAAAATTAAAAACAAATGTACATTTGTATATCTTGAATTGATTTCTAATTCATATTATCATTTTATTGATCATAATATAAACTAGAAATCAATTAGTAATAAATATTATTTGATCACTGGCAGTAATTTAATACTGATTGAATTTATTTTATTTTTTACTGTAATTTCAGAATTTAAAATTTTAATTTTAGGGATTAGTATATCCATCGTTGCACTCATTGTTAGCTCGTTGGACACCGCCAAAAGAGACAACTGTTTTGTGTAGTATAGCATATTCCGGTGAGCTATTATACCTCATCTTTACATAATAGAAAAATGGCAATTATGTTGATGGTTGATTGGGATTTAATTTCAGAAATGCTTTGAAAAATGCCGACAGAAATATATTTGATAAATATGCTGATTACCTATTTGAGTTAAAAGCAATGTTGCTATTGTGATCTTATTTAATAGATATGAAAATTATATTACGGATATTCATATCCGGTATCTTTGCTAATAGCATGACCGGAAGATACGTCATACAATAATAACTAAATTTTAAATGATAATCATTTGTAAATACGAAATGAATTTTCATATATGAATTATATAAATATTAATCCCTAAATATAACTATTAATTTAGATAAACAAATATATATCAGTTGAGCACATATATAGAAATATTTGAATTCCATTAGGATAGCTTAATTTTTATTTCAAACAAACGAATTACTTGTTAATAAATAATATTATTTTATTTTCATTTTTAAAAATCATACTATATTTTTAGGTAATCAAATAGGTAATGTATTAGTCATGTCCATATCAGCTATATTATGCAAATATGGCTTTGCTGGAGGATGGCCATCATTGTACTATGTAGTTGGTGAATTTATTTTTCTTTTTTTCATCAATTCTTAAAAATTTGAACAAATCCATTTATGAATTGATGAAGTTTTAGAACTTTCCATTTTTTAATACAAAAATTTTTTTTTTATAACTATCATTATAAACTTCACTCAAATGTTACCATCATCTAATCTTTATAATGAATAGAAATGATAGTTTGTTAGAAAAAAAAATAGTCCGTTTTTCTGAATTTCCTGATTTGAATATATATAATGTACCAATATACAATATGCAAGCTTCTTTTATCATTTTCTGTATCAAATGGATCAAACTAAAATTTTCCATATTTATATCCTACTGTCGTACTGTATCATCTACTGTATTAGATATCATAGTACTGTATGACGTACGGTAGATGACACGGTACGATATTAGGATTAAAGTCTATTCATACAATTACATTTTATTACAAATATTCATTTATAATGCTGCATTCCGGTATCACATACCTTTATAATATATTATTAACCTTTAATTTATTGTATTTGAAAGAATGAGATGAAATTATACTATGCATATGAAGTATTTTTATTTTTATTTCAATTTCAAATAAATGAAATGAATTATTTCGAAAAGAATTTTGATAAATATATGATAAGTGTATATGTTAAGGATTTGCTGCTCTATTATGGTTAATATTGTGGTATTGGTATGTAGCCAATTCACCAATTAAATGTAAACATATAACCGAAACAGAATGTAAATATATCATCAATTCGCTCAACCATGCCACTATTAATAAGCCAAATCAGGAATGGTTATATGCTTATTATTTTTGGAGAGAAATATTTCCAGAGAAATTTTACCAAACAATTATTATATCAGAGATTTTTTCAGTATATTATGCAAAAAAATTTACATCATTTACTGTGCAGTAATTTTTTTATTTTTTGTTGTTTTCTAGTTTTTTTTTTTTCCTAAAATAATCTAAAATTATTATTTAAAAAATTTCTTTTATAATTAAAATGATTTTTTTATAACTTTAAATTATCATTTGATGATTTTTGGTTAATATTGATTAATCAATTATTATGCACCATATTAGCTGAGCATAAATCTAGCGTTACGGATAATGTTCCGGAACATTAAAATCCGGTGAGAAATTAAATAGGAAGAAAAAGAAAGCAAGGGTTAGAAAAGCGGAGAAAAAAAATGAATATTGTGAACAATGTAAACATTCAATGCTTTATTTATTCATGTTTTAATTAACAATAATACCATTTATCCGTAAATCTCTAAAATACTAATTCAGGAGAAAAAAATTAAAAAACAAATATAATATTAATTGAAATATATGATATATATTTCAGATAGTGGTAATACCGTGGCTTCAAATGTTGACCTCGGCACCAGTCTGGGCTAATTTTGCAGCTCATTGGGCCAATGATTTTGGTGTGTACATGTTAACAACATGTTTGCCAACATTTCTAAACGATGTTCGCGGAATGCAAATTACATCTGTTATTATTTAATTTGCTTGAATTTCATATTTTCTTCATTAATTAGAGCAAAAGAGAAAAAAAAAACGAAAATTTAATGTTATAGTAACAAAAAGTGAAATAATTATGAATGTAAAATGTACATTATTATCGTTCCCAATTAACTTTAATTATAACTTTATATTTTGGAATAAAATAAAATATTTTTTCATCAATTAAAAATTACTGTTTACAACAGGTTATCCAAATTAAAAATAGAAAAATTACAAGAAGAACTAATATTTGCAACAACGTAATAGTTTTACATGACAAACACAACATAATTATTTGCTAAATATCAATTTTTCAAATTACTTTCACAATTTAGATCAATTAAATTATACTTCTCAATCTATTAAATTAGACTATTAATAATTGGATCTTGACATTTAGCTATTGATATATGATAAGCTAATAGTATTAACAAAAATAACAAAAAAAATAAATAATACGCTAACTTGTTGAAAAATCAGATTTATTTTCTGGAATCTTTTCTTATGTGTTATTATTTTAATACGATTACGGTTTAATTCATTCTTATCGAAGATAATTATATTTAATTAGATGAAGCAGTAGGTAAATTGTTCTTTTTTTTTAAATTAACAAAAATACAATTTTTTAGATCAAAAATAAAAAAATCAAAAATTTTATTAAAATTTGTTAAATATATTTTTTAGATGGGTACAGCAGTTGCATTACCATATTTATTATATTGCGTTTGTATAAATGTAGCTGGCATTGTAGCTAATAAGATACGTAATGCTAATTGGTTATCAACAATTAACACACGAAGGCTAGCGATAATTATTGGTAAAAAAAAGTTCGAATGTATTTCTGTCCATTACAGTTTATTCACTTTTTTTCAATCAAATACTTTGGTTTTTTGTTTTTTTTTTAATTAATTTGATTAATTTGCATAACTATGAACTTTTTGTCTATTTTATTAATTGTTACTTCAACTTTTTTTTTCGTCTTTTTCTATCTAAAATTATCTATTTGATTAAATATTCGCATTTTCAGTCATTTTGTTCACTTTTATTTTTACTTTAAGTATTTACTTACATCATATCCTTCGAATAATATCTTTCCTTAGCAATGTTTTATCAATAAACGATAGGAAGATTAATAAAATTTTATAATTTAATACATTCACATTAAAAAATTATCAATAAAATTGAAGAATTCAACTATAAAAATTTTTACCAGTGGGATGAACTATCGGAATTATCTCTCTGATTATTTTCCATAAATATATTTTGAGAGATTTTGTAATTTTCTAAAATGCATTAGTAATGTAATGTAAGAGTTATTACCGATAGACATACCTCATCAGATATTAGGAAGTTCCAATTTATAACACTAATTTTATAATATATTAGCATTATCATTGCTTACTATCATTATACTATGATA